GTAACAGAGGAATTCACAGGGATGTTACAGAGTTTTTAAAATCATCTTATTTCTCAGAAATCAGGGACATTTGTGCAAAATGCCATCTCTATATACCTTAAATGTCACTCACCCAGAAGCTCGCTGTCAAATTGTGTCTCTGGTTAGAGATAACACAATGCAGATGCAAACCACAAGCATGAACTGGTCTTAGTGGTTTCTCAAAAGACTTGTCTCAGAGTTGTAAGGCAATACACGTAGAGAAAGAGACCCCAGAACACAAAGCTCTCTTTTTTTTTTTTCCTGTCATATCAGAGCAGACTAAAAAATTCTGCCGTCTGAGGATGAAATTATTTTTAATATTGGTAAAGCTTTACTTGTACAGGAAGCCCCAGAATAAGCTTTTACAACTTGTATGAGAAAAGACTTGTAATTTAGCCCTCCACATCTTATCAGAATTGTGGATGCAAAACTGGCTCCTGAGCCCCAGAGCTCGGCCAGATTCCTTAAGAAACACACTTTATTCCTGGGAATGTTCAAAAGCCGTGTGGACGTGGCACTTGGGGACATGTTTTAGTGGTGATGGGTTAAGAGTTGGACTTGATGTTCTTGGGGGCCTTCTCTAACCTTAGTGATTCTGTGATTCTGTGCAGCTTTCCACTGTGTTAAGAGAAGATGGACCAAACGTCTCAGGGTGTCATGAACTGCTAAGAGGAATGAGCTTAAAGGCTTTCCCAGAGAGTTACTAATTATCAGTAGTCACTCACAGAAGGAATGAGGGAGTAGCTTCCACTTGGCATCTGCAACGTTTAGATATTATTCCCATTACAGTCAGAAGCATAAGGGTCTAGCAGACCATTTCTAATATCTCAGGTGGAAATCTCTGGGGAGATGGGCATGTTCTCTGGGGAGAGCTTCAGGCATATGCCAGTCAGTTGTTGCAGTCAAATACCACCCAAAAGCAAAATAATTGTTTTTGTGAAGTAGATACACAGGAATTAGCACCATCCAGAGAGTTCATTCAGCCCTACTAGCAATTATTTATACAGAGTGGAGTCACCTCCCATCCTCAAGCTGGACAGATAATCTACTTGTATGAGAAAGATGATGACAACACTTTAAAATTTTAATGTTAGGACAAAGTGATTTATTCCCTCTGGTCAATATTTAGACTGGTTGTTCTATTTTGATTTCTTAAATGAAAAAATTATGTGAGACTATTATATAGTCTCTCTCTGAGACTATTATATACACTATATAGCTCTGGCTATACAAGAATTAAGAGCAGTAATCTGTTCCCAGTGATTTACTTAGAAGTAAATTATAAAACCTGTTGAGACTTTAAATGGAATTTAGAAGATTTCTTGCATGTTGAACATAGCCAGTGTCCAGTTGTTAGTGAAGGCTTTGAAACAGTGTTAATAACCATGCAAAACAACATAAATACTGTTACATTTAAATGTCAAGCAGTAAAAGAATTCACTAACTAGTGCAGAAGCAAGCATATTAACCAAATATGTCAGATTAAAGAAATGGCACCAGTGAGGCATTTTCAGCACCTCGGAGCTCTAAACTGTGAGAAAACCAAATCTGTGAACTACCAGAAAAAAACCCTGCATGTTTTCAACTTGACTGTGAGCTGACTGCTAATATGATATTGCAAGTTGAGTGTTTTTAAAACATTCAAAAAGAAACTAAATGTTTTGGAAAACAAGTGCTTGCAAAAGCTTGCATGCTGGGAATGGAAATAGTTTCTTTACTAACACGGAGACCATGAGAAATCACCAGTCAGTGGCTTGTCTTCACCAGAACCAGCAGTGCTGGACATATTTTGGTTATGTCCTCCAGATTATATTAACAGAATGTCTCCTGCAGGAGTTATTGGGTGGAAGAATGGTCACAGGCAGCAATCAGCACCAGACAGGTGGGAGGAACTGATTCCAAACAATGCTCCCAGCAAAGGCTTCAGACATACATCAGGTGGCATTCACAACTGCCACAAACATTGGTTTGCAGGATAATCACTGGAAACATTCCTATAATATATCACAAGCCTCAAGAGGAGAACCTACTTCTACCCTTTATACCATCCTCCTGCAAAATGTTCTGTGGGTCAGCTTGGCTTATCAGCCTCCTTGGCATCTGAGTTCAGCTCATCCTTGTCAGACACACCTTAGTCAAGAGGTTAAAATGCTTTCCTCAGTTAAATTTCCCTGATTCTATGGGCTCCCTCAGCACTAATCTATTTACATGTGCTGGCTGATTTCTCCAGTTCTGCAAATAACCAAAAATTATTTCTGATGAGCCCTCCCCTTCCCAAGCACTCAGCCCAGGCCACTCCATCCAGACCCGGCCCCTGAGTCACTTCACACATGACTTGTACCTTGCCAGTTAGGTTTTCCCAGCTTCTGACTCACTGTCCTTGCCCAGCTGCCTTGTCTTGCTCCATCCCTGTTCCATAAACTCTGATACTGGAGCTGCAGCTCTGCTCCCCATCTGAAGCTGCTTTGCTCCCAGATGCAATTCCTGTCATTTATCCCATTAATGGGGTGGGGACCTCATTAATACCCCAATACCATTCCCATCACTGTGGGTCCTGTCCCAGCCTCAGAGCCTTACCCTGCACTTCCCACCTCTCCTTGGAAATGACTTTATTTCCCTCTTGATTGAGGGGACAGGAAACAGAAAAACAGCAAAGGCAACACAATAAGCCCAGAGCAATTCTATCTGCAGCTCTGGGCATGAAAAATTCAGTCTGGCTGCCTTCCAGGGAAGCCCTGAGACCACACTGCATCTTCAGCCCTCTCTGACCCTCTCCAGCAGCCAAATACCCAACCCTTGCCTTGGCACTCGAGCTAATTTCCCCAGCAGTTCATTCACCACTGCTTGGGTTAATTGTGGTGCTGATTGTCTACCCCTGCACACTTACAGTCCATCACACATCTCACTTTGTGTCCTTTTCCTCAGCGAGGTGTTACTTCTTTTTTTAAATTTATTTACACCAAGCCAAAGAAACCACCTCCACTACTGTTTCCTTTCACAGCTTGTTTTTTTTATTTCACAATTGTGATCCTGTTTGCACGGTGGTGTTGCTACAGAAAGCTGATCTTGAATGTCACTTTGCTCATTGTGAACCTCTGTGTGTTGCCTCTCAGAGGTTTTACCCTCTTCTACTAAACCTGCATCTTTTTCCAAAAATGAAATGAAAAGTGGTTGACTATAGGATTATGAGCACTTTGGTTCCTGGATTGGCACCTAATTTGTTAGTTCTTCCCCAGCTCTTCACCCACCCCTGAGCTGGGCTTGCCCAGGGACAAAGTCAAAGTTGGTCACAGCACCAAACCCACCAGAGTTCAAGAAGTGTTTGGACAACGTTCTCAGACACATGGAATAGTCATTGTCTGGAGTGTTCCTTGGTATTTTCTTTGTTGATTAGTTTTAAAAAGAAAAACCCCACATGTAGGTTGTGTGATTAAAGTGGAAAATACCTATTATGTTGTTTATTGTAGTGCTATTAGGAGCAATTTATACTGTACTGTGCAAGAAGCCTTTGAATCCTTATTTAAAAAAACAAACAAACAAACCAAACCAAACAGCAAAACACTGAAAGAAACAGTCCATTCAATAACCAGCATTTATTTGCAAGATACATGACATAGTTTTTAATATAGGTATAAAAATATCAAGCAACTGTACATCAGAAAAACAATTTTATTCAGGTATGGCCATGTGAAGATGGCACCTCTTTGTTCAAAAGTGAACCCGTTCCCACCCCAGCCACCCCAGTGAGCAGATTTCCCCCTCAGGTCTGGTGCACAGCATTTCATGAGTAATATCTGGAGGGAAATGGGCTCTCCTGAGGGGCAGGACTGGATTGGCAAGCTGGGATCTTGGCAGAGCTCAGCTCTGGATAGGAAGGATCCCTGTGCCTGGCTCCGCTCCAGCTACTCACTCATCACGGGCAAACTGATGCTAATCCCTCAAAAAAATAAACAAACACATCAATAGGGAAAAACTCCAGCCTCAGCATGTCCTCAGAAAGCACAAACCAACCCCATCAATCCTGCCCTGTAACAGAGCAATTCGACATCCCTCTGGGCGCTGTTGACTTTCCCCAGCAGCCCCAGCTCTGCAAAACCAAACACCCTCAGCTGAGCTCCCTAAGCTGTTACTAAACCAAATCTTGAGATTTGTTCTAACCAAATCTAGCCTCCACCTGATTGATGTGAGTTTTGATAAATCCCTTCTTTGATAAGAAGGATTTTCAGATCAGACCCACCCATGCCCACATTGGAACACAGGCATTGGCTTTATCCCAGATTATTTCACCTTGTGTTGGAAAGTGTGGAGTCACTGACCTGGAGAAATGTATTCTGCTGGGTGGCCCTAAGACATGTGGAGTTGGAGACATCACCAGTCCATCACAAACATTTCTGCTGTCCCAAGAAGCCACCATGCTCCAAGTCTGGTCACTTTGCTTGTCAACCATGTCAAGACCCACACCAGTCATGCTGGTACCTCTGACAAAGGCAGTAAGTTAAAATCTAGACTTCATTGCATTTTCATGGGACTGTTATGACCTTGGTAAGCCCACACATATCCAGCACTTCACCTGAGATGCACCCTGCCACATTTCTGAAGTCTCCTCAGCTCAGAACACATTTCCCTGCTGTAACTTTTGAGTAGTTTGAAGCTCCCTGAGCTCCTGGGCAGACCCACGAGGATTCATGAGAGAACTGTAATCCTTGCATAAGTGGATCCAGTACAACTTATTGAACAGACTCTTCTGAGCACTTACCAAAGCTCAGAACCAGACCTCTCCAGCCATCCCACCTTCCCTGAAAGGGTTATTTATCAAAGAAATGAGCCCATATGATGCATCACTGAACTGCAGACATGTGTACAGGGTGCCTGCATTTTGCTATATTTTCTATACATTACCAAAAAAAAAAAAAAAAAAAAAGAAGAGAAAAGTAAAAAGCAGAAAAAAGCTTTGGAAATTAGTTTTTTTCTTTCCACTGAAAAAGGTGGGTGACAGCACTTTCAGTTCAACTACTGCATCAGATTGTTGAAGCAGCTCTCAGAGAGACCTGTACAGTTGATGTTGATGGTCCCAGCTTAAGCTTCACTGCCCCTGGAGTAGGTGTTGGTTCTGACCAGTGTGTTCCGTCTAGAACTGTAAGACATATCTTCATAAACTACATTTGGGGGGTTTTTTTGGAAGTATTTCTTTATCTGCAAACCAAGGAAAACAGCCATTCAGAACAGAACCTGGAAAAGGACCCCACCAGAGGAGTCAATTTTCGTCTTAAGAGTCCATCTACATCTTTAGAAGTCTATCTCTTGGAAGAGGAGATGTACTTTTAAAATTCCTTTCACAACACAGTGGGGTTTTGGAGGACCAAGTGGAAATTTTCAACCTATTTATTTAACTTTCTATTGTCAGTTTGACGCAATTTCACCAGAAGTTCCTTCAGGAGTTGGATGTAACTGCAGCTCCTGCAGAAATAAGGCTCATTCTTAGTCTGCTACTGGTGACATGAGAGACCAGTTCCCACAGGGCCACTGAGCTTTGACAGAATGATGCTGCACTACTGGTTTTTAGCAGTGCTGAAGCCACATGTGGAGGGACAAGACAGGAGCCTGTGAATCATACACTGTTAATTTTCACTAATCTTTATGGAGCAGAATCTATCAGAGACAAATAATTTCTGGGCATTTTCTGCAGTATATGAATATAAATAATCCTAGTAAAGGAAAAAAAAATTAGGATTTTTTTTTTTCTAGAACGGGACAAAATTTTTCTCCTGGTGCTGCTTTCAGACATCAGGCTATTTATAACTTTTTGTTGCCCTTGTGTCCCCCTCCAAACATTCCCTCACATCTCTTACAAGGTTACTGTGTACAGCTCCAGTCCCAATTCACATAAAGTTTTTAAATAAAGGACATTGAGGTACTTTGTCCAGGGAGGTACATACAACACATGGCTGTGTTGTTGACCATGTGGCTCACTTGAGCTTTGTTATCAAAAGGCAAACAATTTACAAAGAGTTTAGTTACAGAAACATAAAACACTGTGTTTACTGCAAGAGTTTACCGCTGGGAGACATTAAACAAAGGCAAATAAGAAACAATAGGAAGCCACAGTTCCTAAGGTTTATCAAAAGTTTGCTTCACTCAGCCACTGTTTATAAATAATTTGCTCAACCTGGACACAGTTTTGCTTTGGCATGGTGAGAGCATACTTACATTGACACGGTACAAGGTGCAGCACACCAGTGCACAAAACAGTAGTGCCACCACGATGAGGAGGGAATAGATGACCCAGGAGCTACCACTGCATGCCTTCTGGGAGTATGCCTGCTCCCCTTCTGCATCGAAAATTATATTATTAGTATTATTAAGAGGTAGAATTTTCTTTTTATTCTGAAAAAAATTGTTTACAGGTCAAGAAAAAAATCAGATATCAACAGCCACACAGCCACATTTTTTATTCCATTAGTATTCTCAGTGGCATCCCCTGGGCTCTTCCAGAGGCTGGTGATGACTGCAGGTGGCATGTGAAGGGTCAGCAAGGAGCACTCTACAAAGGCAAAAGCTGCCACACCACTGAGCAGAAGTAGGACCACACACTCGTGATGGGAAGAGAAAATGCCTTATTCTGAGGGCTCAGAAGGAATTGTCCAACAGCCAGTTTGTGAGCGGCACAGACAGAAGCAGGAGGGTTCTGTGATTTGCCGCACTCCCCTGAGCAGAACAGTGCTAGTGGAAAGGGTTCCAGCTCTCTAAAACCTCAGTTGATCCATATCTGAGTAACATAATCACCCTGCTGCTTTGATGTGCTGCTGTCATCCTCCCCAGCTCACTTTGCTGAGCTGTCACCCCCGTTATGGGTGGCAGCACCATGAGACCACAGTCGTCTTTGCAGACTGCAGGTAGATCCTGGGCAGCTCTCAGGGCCTTTGGGAACCTTATTTTACAAAGACCTCAGCAAAGCCCAGTGCCCAGGGTTGAACTGCACCAGTAAGATCAAAATCAAGCACTGGATTTCTGGTTCTCTCTTCAGCTTAGCAAATGGTGACAGCACCATCCTGCAGAAAAATAAAACCCCTCTTTGGAGCACACACAGGGCTCAGTGTGTAATAATGGCCTGTGGGGCTTGAAGTACATGCCTGAGGACTTGTTCTGTGCTCCCCAGTGTGACCTATTTTTAAACAGAAAGACTTGCTGTTGGGAATTGTTTCTAAAAGACATTGATGTCACATTAAGATCAAAGAACTGTTGCTAAAAATACTTATTCATATCCTAAAATTGACAGATTATTCAGGCACACACTGAAATGTTTGTTATCTTATTTTGATGTTTTTTAATTCTTTTTAAGATGCAGGATTATAGCAAGTTTTCTCTTCTGAAATGCCCTCTGGTTGGTTGTACAAGGCACATAGAAACACAGTGGCTGTGTTTCTACCTCTGAGCATAACAGGACACTGATGAGGCTGAGCCCACTCTCCAAACTCTCCCAGGTACTGGATGAGCTCTACCCAGGGATTAGTGCTTTACCTGCCCTCACTAGATTTCTGCAAGCTTCTTGCCCACCTTTTGCATTACAACATGCCTATAGTTAGTTATGATTAAACAAGCAAGAGGAACATACCTTTAACCAGCACCATGGTGCCACTTGCTGAGAGGAGACGGGTGTTTTTCCCATGTTTCACCTCCTCAGCACAGACATAGTTATCACTGTCATTCTCCTGCAGGTCGTGTAGAGTTATCACCATTTGCTTCCCTTCCCTCGAATACTCCAAGCGCTCAGCAAAGGCAGGTGGAATCCTTGTAGCACTCTGATTTGACACATACAGAACACTTTCAGGCTGCACATGAGTCCTGAGCAAGTAGATCCCTTCGTCCCCACGTGAGCTGCTCATCACACAGGTGATGCTGACAGACTGGCCTTGCTGAGGGCTGGCATAGAGCGGTGACTGCTTCAAAGCCCCACCAGTTTTAGCTAAAGACAAGAGAGATTAATGGCTGTCACGTAATTATCAGGGTGCATTTTAACCAGGGAGCAGATGCAGAGGTCACAGACAGAAAGAACAGGCCGCAGAAATTTAGATAAAATGAATTTTTTAATGGGCTACCTTTACACGTGCCTTGAGAAGAAGGATATATTTTAGCACACCCTGGCATGTTTTCCTGCCTCAGGATCTGAAAGTAGGACTGACCAACAGGTTTACCTGGTTGTAAAGGGTCTGTACCTACCTAAAAAATACATATACTGATCCCTTCTAAGGGAATACAGCCTCTTCAGCATGTCCTTGGACATGGATCACTGACTGCTTTCTCCAGTGAGATGAAGACATAGGAGGATCTGGGGAATATTGGTCTGGATCAACTCATACAATGTGAGTCCCATCAATGTTGAAAATTATGTTCAAAAAGTAATTATTAATGGTTTGCTGTCCAGCTGGGAAGACATTCTACTGAATTCCTCTGAGGACAGGTCTTGTTCCTTTTAAAATTATCATTAATGTGGGTGAGGGAATGAAGACAGAATGTATCATGGTTGTCAAAGGAAAGTGGCAAGCATTTTAGAGAAGAGGATCAGAATCAAAAAGAGAGATAAAGTAACTTAAAAAATAATTTGAAGAAACAGTACACAATAAACAAGATGGAATTCATTTGAGGAAACAGAGCCAAGGAGTTAGAAAAGAGAAGCCTAAGGAAGAACATGACAATTCCTCATGGATATAAATTACAATTGCTGATCCAGCAATCAGTTAGATTTCATGTGCCTTGGGGACAGGAAAGGAAGAAAACTCTAAAGTTTGGTAAAGATATTTCTCATCAGATGGTCTCATCAGAAGGATGGGTACATAGAGGAATAAGCTGCCAAATAATAGTGGGGACTCAAACCCTCTTCTAATGCAAAAGAAAATAAAGACAGAAAAATTGTTCCCCCAACCACAAAAATCTGCCAAAGGGAGCACTTGTGCCCATTCATCAACTATTAAGAACAGAAAAAAGCCTGTACCCACTCATGCCCAACTTGCAGACCCTGCCTAGCACCAGCTCCCAATAAGTACCAATATGTCATTTAAGATGAAATAGTAAAAAAAAAAAAGAGATTTGCAAAAACTGCTATTAAAAAAAAAAAGTCTCATTGCTCTGCTAGTTATTCATAAAGATTTCACAGATTGTTTTGGAAAAAGAGCTCTAGATCATCACTGTTTCCAAACTGCTGCAGCTACCTATGACTAATAGGTGAAAACCTGTAGATAGAATTAAATCAGTCACAAATTGATGTTCTAGGGTGGATGGGGGATTTTTGGTACTGTACTATCTAATGCTCTTTCTTCAATATTTCAGGGCCCACACTTTCCTTCAAATCTGTTCATCACCTGAGCAGACACAAGTACAGTTCTGTCAGACTCTTCCTCCCATTGTGCTTGCTTCCAATCTTTGATTTAAAATACAGGTCTGTATTCAATAATTCATGACATAAAAGGTGGAATTGCAATACCTTTCACCACTACTATGGTTCTCCTCCCATCCAGTATTTTGTGATGGTCATTGACTGTAACATACTCAATGCATAGGTAGATATTGGAGTCAGATTCCTGCACATTGTGCAAAGTTGTCCTGTAATTCCTTCCTTCCCTTGAACACTCGGTGCGACCAGCCAAATCAGGAGAGATATTTGGAGGATTGTCCTTGGGAAAATATATCATATTGACTGTCTTTCTGCTACTTTTCAAGTGCATTCCCAGGTGCTCTCCTAAACCACTGATTGAGCAAGTTATGCTGATGGAGTCTCCTTCCCAAACACTGAGAACGTCTGTTGACTGCTCATTTTCTCCACCTAAAGATAAGAAATGCAATTGAGATGGTAATACCAGAGTTCTTATTGATCTTTTAATATCAAAGTAGTTTTCAGAACCAACAATTCTGTCAACAGAACCGCTCTGTAAGACTGGACCTTAGTCTTGCTATGCTGTGTGTGTCATCTCTTGGCTGCCCTGGACCCTGTAGTGCCTTTCATGCCCATTGAACTGTTCAGCTCAGCACCTTCCCAAAGCTTAAAAGGCCGTGGCAAAAAAGTGTCTCCTGTCACTCGTGCAAAAAATTTAGTTTGCTCGGTTTAGATTCTCAGAATGATCCTATTAGTTCTCAAAATACAAGCTTCACTGAACTCAGCCTGACAGTTGGAGCTGTTTGAGGGTCTAAATCTGGAATTCAAAGGTAAGAAAAAAATGACAGAGAATGGAGGAAAAAATACACCTTTTTTTTTTCTTTTTAAAGAAAGGAGCATTTAGCAACACCAGGAAACTGGATAATACAGCCTCTCGGGCTGCAGAGGGTGTAACTCCAATCTATAGTAAGAAACAAAGGTACCAAAATGTATAATGAGACATCTTTGAGTTCTCTAATTACCTCAGGATCAAAAGAAACTGAACAGTAAATATTTGTGTAATGAATAGCAAGAAACAGAGGGATCAAATGGGAAACACCAGAAAGAAATTACATCAGAAGCAAGGAAAGAAAAATTAAATAGAGAGTACTGCATGTCTAGGACAAACACAGTTTATAAAAGGTTGAATTGTTCAATGTTGAGAAGCAAATTAAGGATCCCTACATACTTAGGACAATTTACTTTAATAAAGAAACAAACATAGAATTCAAACACAGAAAGTGTGGATTGTTGAAATATAGATACAGTAGGTCACTCCACCTGAGCAGACATGGGCATGTTCCTCCTACAACACTCAGAGAAGGAATTAAGGCAACCCAAGAGTCACGAGCAATTATCTCCCAAAGCAGCAGAGAAATGGGGTGAGGGATAAGGCTGGAGAAGTGCAGAGCACTCAGCCTTTACCATCAGGAAAGGAAAGCCCATCAACCTAAAAATCAGTACTTCCAAACTGACCTAGTTTAAACTTTTCTGTGACCTAAGACCTCACAAAGTTAAGGACAATCAGAAGAAGCCCATCACTCATATTCTCCAGAGATCAAGGTAGAAGCTCAGGAGTTAAATTATATTTGCAGAAATCAGCATTGACTCCTAAATAACCACTAACTAAAGAACTTTCTCACCAGTTTCACTGCACCTTCCTTTCAGACACACTGATTTATAGATAATATGTTTTTCTCAAGTCACCATCCTTTCCATTGTCAATGGTGATGGGGAAAAATGAGTGACTGTTTGGAGACTTTTTCTTTCCTCAGCCTGTTCCCCTCAGAAATTCACACTGTTTACCCTAAGTGTGCCTCCAGCTTGTAGTCTTAATAACCACAGCAACATTCAGCAGTGGATATTTCTGGTAAGGCTTTATTCGACCTTCAATAAAAATGCCCCTAGTAAATATAAATATTCATTTCTGTCAGTAGTGGACTCCCCCATCATCCTTAAAAATACAGATACAGTTGATCTGAAATTACTGGAAAACACTTGTACAGAGAATGATTGCTTTGTAGAAAACTTAAGATCATAACAATTTTTCTTTTTTTTCCCTACAAGTTCCTTTTTTAATTTCAGAGATTTATTTTTTTTTTCCAAAGTTCCACCTGCTTTCACTAATAGTGAATCTGGCAGGAAGCTGTTTGAGAAAATAGACTAAAGTAGGAGGGGGATTGAACACAAAGAAGCAAGAAAGAGGAAGGAAAACACTGAACTGGAAGAGCATCTACATCATACCTACCAGTCTGGGCAGGGAAGCACGGGAGGAGCAGCAGACAGAGGGATGCAGTTGGGAGACAGGACATCCACAGCATTTTCAAAGGTCTCTTTAGTTGCTCTCTGCAATCTGACTGATGAGTTAAAGACCTGAGGAAAGGGCTGATGCCCCAAGCTGACCTGTTGCCTTTCAGCTACATCAGCTCTCTACTACAAGAAGCCAGCAGGATGCTGCTTTTGCTTTTCTATTCCAGTGAATGTGACAGAGAGGTGTATCTTGATGTTGACTTCACACTAAAACCGCCCCTGGTTTCCTGCTACTGAGCAACTCCCAGCCCTGAGGGTAGGAGTAGAAAGTTGTCTATGGTGAGCACCCACCTTCCCTTTGAAGACAACTGAGAATGGAGACACTCACTCAAATTTGCCCTTCACAGCACCCAAGCCAGGCAGTTGTCCCCCAGTTGTGGTCTCACTGGAAATGTGGCTGCCTGGTACAATCACTTCAGCCTGTCACTGTTCCCACAGGCTTAGATTGGTGGCTGCAAATGCAAAAGCCTTGGCTTTGTAAGGAGCAAGGAGATGAGAGATGCTGCGTTACTTCAGCTAAACCTTCAGTTATTATACCAGCCCTGCACACAAACCAGCAGCTTGGATCTGCATCTTGGCAATGACAACGGGAATAAATTCCCAAGCTACAGCACAGGACGTACCTCCCACGGGCCCCTGGCTTCACATTTAACAACCTCTCTGTGTGTCTGCAGTGCACAAGAGCTGAAAACCACCAGCAAAGGGGAACCAGCTACAGCTCACATGTAGCTCCTGCTCCCTCCCCAAGAGGATGAAAAGCTCTTCTTCTGGGCACTGCTCTCTGTGGGAATACAAAAGGGAAGGGAGTGTTCCCCAAGAATTTCCTGAATGCTTGAAAGCTCAGAAATTTCACCAATTATTGTAAAGGAAAGAGAGTTCAGGCAGGTTGTGAAATGAGCTTTCAATTAGCCCCACAAAGGCTCACTGCTGGCTAGAAAAGCAGATGCCAGGAGACATCTCTTACTCCCTGTCTTTGCTTTTGCCATATGTAAGAAATGAATGATGACAATAATACTGGATTGTGAGTTTGGGAATGATGGGATGGTGATGCTTTGTCAAGGAGATTAACAGACCAAATAACAATACCATCAATACAGGGCTACCAAGGAATAGCCAGATCTTAAGGAGCTGTTTTATTGTCACTAGTATAGTAACACAAATTGAAGATTAAAATCAGTCAAAAGAAGTTGCAGCTACAAAATTATGGCATTTGGTGAGTCAGGCATCTTAGTATTGTTAGTCCTTTTTTTATTTCATCAGATGATCTTCCAACCCAAACCATTCCATAATTCTGTGAATAAAAATATTTGCCTATCTATGTATGTTGCAAAACACAAAGCACTTGCTGAGGACAAACCCAGTAGACATCTCCAGGAAGCAGAGCACACAGCTGGAGATAATTCAGCTGGTTTAAGGCTGTGCTGCTGAGTCAGCCACACACCTTGTGATAGCTCCTCAGCCAAGCACCAGCAGAGAATGGGAGATCCAGGGTGCTGCTTGTGCTGCTCTTGAAGGCCTGGAGCTGGACAACTGTGGCAATCACAGTCCTTGGTGAACATGTGGATGTGGTGAAGGTGCATTTGTGAAAACCAGACCATTTGTGAATATGGGACCAGGAGGTCTCATGGAACATCAGGCTCTGTTGCTTCAGCTGGTTGCTGTACAACAGGACAGAGGAAGATGCTGCTGGCATAGGGATCTTCTCACTCGTAGATAGTTTTCAAGCCTGTGTGAGGCTCTCTTCATCTGAAGCCTGTCTGTTTATTCTGAGAGCTGCAGAATTGAAAGAAAAATATCTGTGAGGCCAAAAAGGGCACAGGCCAGTTTCAGTGAGAATTGTAATCCAAATGCCTGTATTGGAAAAGACCTCCAAGATCATCGAGTCCAACCTTTAACATTCTAGAGACAACTTAACAGCAAAAGATCTGATGGAATGCTATGACAGTCTTAGGGAAACAACAGGGAAAAAGTACCAGCATTGGCAAGGACTTCTTTAGAAGAACTAAAACTAACAGACTTGCAGTTGTTTTTTCCCAATTTAGGTTTATCTGCAATTACTGATCAGCTCACTGCTACCCATCTCAGACAGACCCACAGGCCTTGTGTTTCTCCACAAATCCCCACCAGGAATGGCAGGTGGGATGCTTTGCCACATGACAGCACAGTTGCATCCCAAGTCCTAGTCTGTATTGGAGTCCAAATATTTCTGGAGTAAGAGGTGGTTTAATATTATCTTGAAGAACTCTGGTCTCTGTGTTGGGAGGGAGGAGGGAAGAGCAGAGGGTAATACAGAGGAAGGCTGGTGTTTCCAGACTTTATTCACATGATTCCCTATTCACTCCACAGAACCTATCCCAGCTATTTCCACCCAGGGAACTGGATCCCCCAGAGGGAAGGCTGAGCCCTGCCATTGCTTCCTCCTCGCTTCAGGAGGGAGCAGTGAGGAAATTTATTCTGTGCTTATTTTTCATAACAAACCCATCCAGACAACATAATGGAGATGAGATCCAGGAAGAAAACCCTGTATGTTTTTCTCACTGCCAGGTGTGGAACCCACAGGAAACCAACAATTTGTCAGACAGTACCTTGAATAATCCGATGCCGCCGATAGCAATATGCAGTGACCGTTCCTGCACAAAGCACAAGGAGCAGCAGGAATGTGACAGAGATGATGATGTCGCTCCTTCTACCTGGAGAGTAGAAGAAAATAAAGAGAAGCCCAGTGAATCAAACGGGTATGCCAAGCCATGAGCCTCCTTCATAAGCACCACCCTGAGGAACTGAACCTGGTGCATGAGCAGTGTGCCCCAAAACAGCTGATAAAGAGAGAGGGAACCTTTGAATGAGAGAGCAAACAGCCTCTGGCTCAGGATACCTTAATAAAGGTACCTGTAACAATGCTGACTTCATCAGCATTCAAACTTAAGTCTTGACTCCCCACCACAACAGATATCATGAATGTTTTCCTCTTCCAAAAAACCCCAAACCAAGAGGTGTGAGAGCCATCCTTAATGATGGGTTCAAAGGCCATTAAGGACATCCATTTTCACTGGTTTTTAAAGACCTGTTTGTCCATCACTAAGGAAGACAACAGGGATCTCCATTGTGAAAGAAATTTGAATATAAAACTAACTTTAGGTGACTTAATATGGAGGCAAAGTCTCATTTATCCCTGACCACCAAGGGGAATTCTTGGGAACTGGCTGCATGCTCATCACGTACCACCTTCCCTCAGCACCCCTGTATCCATTGCTCCATGTAAAACTCTGTTCACATCAAGCTCTCTGGGCAAAACACTCTCAAAGCAAAGGGAAAACAAACTTGTGGAGAGATTAACCTGGAATTTCCTCACCAAGGATACCAGCTGGTGCTTTTCTAGTTTCTGCACCTGACATTTCAGTGTGGCACTTCAGTGTAAGATTGGACTCCCAGATATTTATTTCTGCTTCACAGCAAAGTTTATTCTCCTCAGGACTGATGCTACCTCTCCCATTTGCTGAGAAAGCTGAAAGATAAAAGAAGTTTTGATTATAAATACAGATCAAGATCTTCAATCAAGGGTTCAAAAGGTTGAAGAGGTTCATAGGTTAAACAAGTGGATCATGTAGCACAGAAAGGTGGGGATTGCCATGACTGCTACAAGTTGGGGATGTTTCATTCCCCAGCTGTTCAAATCAACTACTGACATTTAGATTTTCTCCTCACTAAAGCTGATGAACTGTTCTGTGAGCCAATAGTGGAAATACTCACGTTACAAAAAGGCAAAGAAGGTCTCCCATGTAATTAAGAATACCAAAACATTGGTAAAAAGCTTAGCATTACCTTGATGTAATTAAAATCCATTTTAATAACAATTAGGACACAATTTTGCAGTTCCCTTTTTGCATAGGAACCAAAGAGGGGGAACAAGCAAGACCAGCAGCTGTGTAGATCTCAGAGACCCCGGAGTGCATCTCCCACTGACCCTGCATCCCACTGGGCTGTTATAGAACTTAGTCCTCTTCCAAGAGAACCTTGAGAACTCCTTCCTGCCTGCACATCCCAGACTCAGCACCTCCACCCGTTACCCTCTCAAGGGACACAGGCACCCATGGCTACAGTGACTTCCAGTTTTCACCAGGGAGGTTTCAGTGTCACCCAAACTTTTCACGGGAGTAACAGCATGTGGATATTTTGGTGAGCATAAATACAGGAGAGAAATAGTCAATTTGTACTGATGGAAGCAGGTGGGATTCATACATTACAAACTGACACAGAATTTGACCATGAGAATTGATGTTAAAACAAAAAAAAAAGGCCAGAAAAAAAAAGCCTGTATAAATCAGAATAATATGTGTTTATCTGAATCTCTACTAGTGTAGTTTTAAGCAGTGTCTGACCCGAGAGAATTCAATTAGTTTTCTGAATTATTTTTTTTAAGAGAAGAAACTCATTCTGTCAAGTTAGTTTACTCATGAACATCACTGTCTGCACAAATGTATAACAGTTCACTTTCATCACCAGAAATATGTTTCCCATCTGTTGATATCCAGGCTCCCAGCAGAGCATACCTGTAGAATTCAGGATGGCACACGAGTGTCCAATTCCCCTGGTTTTTACCCAGACGATGCCATAAATTCCTTCAGGAGAAGTATTTCCTTGCTGAAAGCACACAAGGATGAGTGTTTTCCTGGTCACCAAGTCAATTTTTCCCTCGTTTTCTGTTTTAGCCATTTTTACAAATCTTTCAAATCTGCCTGATTCACATTCACTGATTGCACAGTCTTTACAGTAGTAGACTGTCACATTTGTTTTGCCAGAGGAAGAGTTATGTGTCCTCTCAGTAGGGTGACCACTGGCCATGGCAATATCTAAAGGAGAAAACAAAGAAAAAGTATTTTCTACCAGTTTACTCCACAGGTTTAGTGTTAGAGAATGGGATGAGTTTGGGTGGACAGGTCCAGTCAGGGCTTAGGAGACATTGTCTGCCAATGAGCAAATTTTACACAGTATGGGGGCCAGTCCACAAGATAATCTGGGGGCAGAAATAGGATATAATTTCCTTACTTATGTAACTGTTTTAAACAAGGAAGTTGGCACCTTGGGAAGTCAATTGAAAGGCTTTTCTCTTGCTGAGCTCAGATGTATCATCTCTTCTTGTTTCCTTTCCTTCCCAAGGCCTTGGCACAATCCTTTCAGGTATCCCCCCAGCAGACTGCCTGATCCCAAGGCCAGTGAAGTTCAAAGCTGCCAGACTGCACACACTGGGTGCAGTGTGCAGGTTTACTCATCCAGACTCTCTCAGGGAAAAGCCAGTCCATCAGGAGAGGACTCGCCTCATCTGACATCAGACAGACCCAAAGAGTCACCCCTCCCAAAACAGGGCATTGGGACAGGTCAAACAAACCCACCTTCACCTTAATTTCTTTTCTCACCCTAGAGCTTTTTTGGTTTTAGCTTTAACTGGGCACAGCTGAGCTTTCTAAGAACAGCTAAAAGTTTTTTAGCTACTGATGTGCAGGGAAAAGCACTGAGGTCATACAAGGAGACTCACTTGGACAGGGAGCTGCAACAGCCAGGAGCAGGAAACACAACCCCACGAGGTGGGGAGAGTCCATCTGGCTGCCCTGGGTGCTCAGTTCCAGTGGTGCTGGATGTTCTCTGAGATCCTCTGTGGTCCCAGGTCAGGCTCACCAGGCTCCTCCCTTAGTCATCTTCCTGTTGGGACATTAAATGCAGTGTTTAGCATCCATGATCTCTTATTATCTTTCTCCAGACAAAAAGAAATCAGCTGCCAGGCCAAGTGCTGTAAGGCTGCTCCTGGCCAAGACATCTGGAATGGAAGGAATGGAAGGCAAAGGAACACTCCTGCTGCTCAGCTCTCACTACAATGGCTTTTGCAAGTGCCAAACTCACACCCCTTTCCACCTCTGGCTCAATCACAGCAGCAGGAGACACGTGGTCCTTCTGCAGGGAAAGGGCAATCCCTCCTGAGCCTGTTGGTCAAGAGGCTCTGTTTCCAGGTCCTTCAGACTCCTCAAACAGTGGCCCTGCACACATCCCTCAGCAGTACATGCAACAAATAACAGCCTGACTCGCTGTCGCTTGGAAAACACACCAAAAAATTAGATAAGGAAGATATTTTGTGCTGAATGAGTGTTTCACTTGACGTAAGATGAAATATTTACTGTCAAATTGAACTCTGTTTTTAGTTTAGAAGTCTGACAGGAAATACCAGTTCAAATCAAATGAACAAACGAAAACTTGGTATTTCCTTCCAAAAAAATCTCCTGGCTTTAGTCAGAAATTCATTCTCAGTCATTTCAATGAAACTGTGAATGACTTTGTGAAATATGTTTTAGTAAAATACAAGTTTCCTTTTCCAAATAAGAAAAAAGAAAATTGAAAAAAATTAAAACTATCATCCTGGCTCTGGAAAACAGAACCTGCTTTGCTCTTGGGAGCTTTTCATTAGAAGCTTTCATTAAACAACTTTTTTTGCTGTCACCACCTGAGAAGTACCTTGAGGAAATTTCCAAATTAATTATACATTAATTCCTAATTATGCAGTAATTCTTCATCAGAACTTAATAAATGCTTGTCTCTCATGGTCTGTGCTAATCTAGAGCTGCTGAGAGTTCCACCCCAAAACCAGATGACACAGGAGAAACAAAACCCTCAAGGCAAGCCCATTCCAGCTGCCAGCAGGCACAGGAACCAGCTGCAAAAGTTCCCCCGGAATAAAACCCGGGACACCTCTGCAGTGCCTCAGGCTGCTGACACCCACACGTGGGATGTGCCGGACCGGTCCTGGCTCTGCTCCACACACACCTTCCGAGGCGAGATCCGTCCACTTCCACTTCACACCACACGAGGGACCAGTGATTCCACTTTACACACACAGCTCCTGCTCCCCTCTACAGTCCTGCAAGGATTTCCTCTTGCTCCACCAACCCATTAATGCAACAGCATCACTTCCAGCAGTGTCCTCTCTCAAAGTTAACTCTTAACTGACCTGAGCAGTTAAGAGACCTGAATATTCTCACACATTTTTTTGTGCTTATTCCTACTCCAACACAAGTTAAACAGCTCACTGCCCTTCCAGTGTGTGTTTTCAGGCTTTCTGACCTCTGCCTCTGGCACAGCTTCAGCAGGGCCCCCCCAAGGTGACCAGAGCAGAGCTGTGGTGGGGGGTCACCCCAATCCCAGCCACGGGGGCTGGCAGAGCAGGGCTGCTGCTGCAAGGTTTGGATGTGCTTCCCTCTCCAGCCAACCATTAAGCACAGTCATGGACCCCCAAAATCCAGTGCTGTTCTCCAGCTGTAAACAATGCAATACGTTTGCTAAAAGATTTATTTGGTACCCTAAAGATCCCACGGAGAATGCTTAAGTTTCACTCAGTTTGGAGAAAATAATACTACTGAAGGAAGTAAGGCTGCAACAGAATAAGCCCCAAAGAACTTCAGAAGATCCTACAGATTTTGTTTTCTACTCTAAGTCCTTTCACAGAAAAGGAACAGTATTTACAGAAGAAATAATTTTTCTATCACTTTCTGTACCAGTTTCACTCTTTGATCTCCTGAATACCACTCTCAACAAGCCTTTACAGGAAAAAAAAAACAACAAAATGAAATCATGGGAAGGGATAAAACAGCTCTTTCCTGAGTGAGCCTATGACTGTAGTTTGTTTTTACAGCTCCAACAAGGCAGTGCAGAGAAAGCAACCAGCAGGACATTGTGGCTGAGCTGACAAATCTCTGCAAAAATCCTGAATGTAAAGCACACTTTGGCTTCCCACCAACTGCTCTGAAAAGAAATTCCACAGTAACCATTAGAAAACACTACTAATTTTTTTTATGCTTGCAGCACATTAGGAAGAGTAGAATGAATGTACTGTTCCACTGATTTAACTTCTTTTATTTCAAAACCTCTGTCCTTATTTACTAATGTTCTGTGGTTTTGGTTCTGTTTTGTTTCATTCTGAACCCAGAGCCACCAGGCTGGGGGTTTTTGTTGCTTGATGAAGCTGTTGGGTTTCTGCACTCACACAATCAGTGCAGAGCTGCGTGGAAGTTGCCAGCCAGGGCTACAGAGGTGGAGTTATTTAGTGAGAAAGATCACAAGCACCAGTAACACACATTCTTCCTTATGGAGAAAATGTGCAGCACACTAAACACTTCCCTCCTGCCACAGCCATTTCAGTGCCCATTTCTAAATGTCTACTTAAAAACCAGGAAGCAAGAATTTGTAAGAGAACAGACTGACTGTAAGACAGGACCCTGTAAAGAAGAAGACAGTGTGAGTACCTCAAAAGCTGCTTTGCCTGAGGAAGCTTTCCTGCCTCTTCCATTCCTTTCTCCGAGTGCCTGAGCAGTTCTTTCCAACTCCCAGTCATTCAGCTCCTCTTCCAGAGCCCTGCACAGGAGATGCAGAAGCCACTTGGATCCCAGAGAAAAAGGCACACTAGGGGCTCCTCCTTCTTTATAATGCAACTAGATTTCATAATGGATTTTCGCTTTCGCTTCTGGACTGAGGTCAGCAGTGTCACTGAGCAACGCAACAAGGCAAGTCCAAGCTGCTGCATGGGATTCTGCAGTTGGAAAGCATGGAAAAAAAACCACACCTCGTAAAAAACTTGCCAGGAACCTGCTTGTGGTTAAACCTGAGCGGAAGCCCTGTCCCTCTGGGCGTTGCAACAGCAATGTAAAAGACTGGATTTGAGATCTGCTCCTGAGTCTGGCGCTCCTTTGGCACTGCAGGGGGGCCCAGAGTAGGAGAATCTGAGGTGCTGAGCTTGGTTTGCTCCCTGGCAGGGATCAGTGCTGAAGGATACCCTGCTAGAACACACCCCAGGGCAGCAGCAGCACTTCTGCTCTTTGACTGAAGTTGTGTCCATCACATAACTTGCCACGAGCCACTGGGACCAGAGGGAGGGTAGAGGTGAACCAAAGGAACTCCCAATGAGCTATTCTATGATAAACTCAGCTGACTCTGGCACCACAGGACAGGGGGAGGAAAAGTTCAGTGCCCATAAGCACTGGGGACAGATGAGCGTAAAATCTGCTGCCTTCTTATCTCTGTTTTGGGTGGGGTTTTTTAGGGTGGCAAGGAGGCAAGTCAAGCTATCCAAGTTGATTTTAACCATCAGCAAAGCAGTACAAGCTTACAGCCAAGAAAGTGACCTGGAGAGTGGCTGACCCTCTCCTTTCCCCTCTTCCCTATAAGCCCAGGTAGATCCACAGAGCCATAAGCTCTTTTCCTTGACTTGACTGTTGTCCTCAGCACCCATAACAAGCTTTTCTCCTCCCTCAGCATTGCCCTGCAGTTCACAGTCGCCCTGTGCAAGGTGTCCCACAGCCAGTCACAAGCAGCACTCCCAGGCTGCCACAAACTTTATCTGGATCTAAAAATAGCAATGTTTTCTCCGAGTACATAGTCCACTCTTTCACCAAAACACTTCTTCATTACACCTTGTCCCTAGTTTTATCATGTGACCCACAGACCAAAAGGTTTGCAAACTGTGCTCCAAGAAGAAACCAGTGCTCTTGGAAGGATTAAAGTGCTTGGTTTATCCTAAATGCTGCAGCACCTGGTACCTTGTCGTGGAACAGATGGAGGCTGAGCCTGGGCAGACACAATTTCAGGGGTTTATTTAGCAGATATCATACAGAAGTGCTCAGTTTCAATTTAATCACAGTGTTGCAAAACCACAGTGCCCCTCCAGTGAATTTGGGTGGTTTGGTTTGCTCTTACAGTCCCAGTTCAAGGCAGCAGCTTCTGTGTTAGAAAAATGCTCCAATGCGGGGACATTTGTCTGCCATCACACTTTCCTGTTCCAGGCTCAGGACATTAAACTTGAGACATTTCCTTAAAAAGAAACCCAAACCACACCACCACCACCACTAAACCCAAACAAGCCAACAAAAAAAACCCCACAGCAAAACCCCTTGTTTCTCTTAGCTTGTGCCCTTCCTGCCCTGGCCTGGAAGGGTCACCTCCAGCATGCAAACAAGGCTTCCACATCTCTGGGGGAGAAGTTAAAGATTGACATCAGTTCCAGGGATAAAGCACGAGGTAAATGCAGCCACTCTCACAGTAGGTCCCAGGTCTGCAATTTTTTTCCTTACATTCTCCCCCCCTGGCTCTTGGGCACAGTCTTTAACAGTGACTTCACAGCAAACTTATGATCAAAAAACCCCAACTGTGTGCCCATCAGAAATGGTCCTGAGTGCTAATTCACAGATTCTGACAGTGACCCCTGGCAGCAAAGGTCTCACTGGCTGCTGCTGGCTGGGCTGAGTTGCTCAGCCAGGACTGGCTTAACATATTTTAATATCCAATGCAAATTATCACAAGAAAAGAAGCTGTAGCTAAGGAGTGTAGCAGCAAAAATGTACCTTGGGGTTTTTTTGGATCTCCAGAGGATTGCTTGGTTTGAGGAATTGCTAACAGGACTAAACCCCTCACTCAAATTCAGCCCAGCTAAACAGCAGCTGTCCTAGTGCAAGCTGTCAGCACAAAAGATATCAATATTCTGAGAATCTGACCCAAAACTTTGATTTTTCTTTCGTCTTAATCATTTTTTACAGGAAGAGTTAGTTTCCAAGCACAGAATTTGGTAATACCCAACCACAGGAGCTGTTTCAGATTAGCCTCTTCCTCAGCACCCCCAGCATTGAGTTCCCCAGACACTGTATTCATGTGATTTTTCCATTTTCACTGTTCCCTGTGAGTGGTACCCAATTCCTCAAATGCCTGCTTTCTGCAAGCATAGAGCAGAAGTCCAGGGGAAATGTCTGCTGCCTAATCTAGAATTTCTAGGAACAGGCAAAGAACTTCAGTACTTCAAAACTCCTTTGAGAAGTTTATTTTACTTTGTACAGTTAGAGCTTGCACCGCATCCTTTGATGGTAAATTAAGTATGTGTTAAATAGAAAAAAATATGAGCTATTTATGCCTTCAGCAAGGATTTTCCCCTTCTCCTACTTACCCAAAAATATGCTTGAGGAATTTACTTATTCATCAACTAAATTGTGTTTATATTGCAATAGTCCTTGAAACTCTACTCCTGAACGAGGCTTCATTTAGACTTTCAAGAGTTAAAACCTCCAACATGGACTTTCTCCTATAGCCAAGGAATCTTATACTTTGATCCACCCTGACAGCACAAAACCCCTTTCATTGAATACAGAAATACCCAGAATAGTAACATTAACTTTAACCAGAAACTCAACGTGAGAAATGAACCAGAAGACATGAGATGAAAATCAAATGCTGTGATCACAGAAGAACCTAGAGTTTTTCTTAGCTATATGCATGACTACAAGAAGTGGTTTGGGCTTCTATTCCTTTCTGCTTCAAGCAACTGTTACCTTTTTTTTTAATATATGTCTTATTTCATGTTCCAGGAAATTGAAAGCAATAGGGTAGCTCAGGGATCTATCCCAAGTCTCAGAATTAACAGTCGATGTCCCATTATACCTTTGGTCTCAGTATGTTTTCTCACTGGTTTTGGCTTCAAAGCCTCACTTATCTACAACACCTCTGTTTTCACATTTGTGAGGTATTCCCCTGCTAATCTGGTACACCAAGAAAACAGACCATGAAGTAATTTATGGCTAAAAGATAAAAATTATAACTATAACGGCTTATGATTACAATTGGTCTTTCATGACAAAAAATGATCTTTATTGCCAAGTAATTCACCAGTCAGGCACAAATTAAAGCAGGATCCAAAGCCTTCCGTGAAAGGAAACTAAAACAAATTCTCAGAACTATTCTTGCTTAATATCAAAACTAGCTGTTACACTTTTTCCTTTAATAATAGTAAACAAGTATCATAAAAGAGAAACTGCAATTTAAATCCAGAATGTGATCCCCATTTTTTTTGATTACTCTTTGGAAAAAACACCGTGGTGACCTTAAACAAATCTTTGTTTCTCCACTGTTAAACAGGATATAAGGAAATCTTTTTTCCTGAAACGTGAGCTGTCTGAGACCGTAAGACAAAGCACATAAAGTTACCCAGGTTTTGGTTTCCAAATCTCTCTTGCCTGCAGTACCACCACTTTCATGTTCGTGATGGACTCCCTGGCTAATCTGTTATTTACATCAATAAAATAGTGCATGATGTAATTTATGGCTGTGATATAATGAGAATCATAAGGTTTTTATGACAACGAACGCAGTGACAACAGTTACCTTTATTGCCAAGCAGTTCACTGGTTAAACATCCACATAGCACCAGACAGCTGCTCACACAAGGAAAGGTAGAGCTTTTCTCAGGCACAGATCTTCAAGATTCACCAGATTCAGTTCCCTGAGGTTTCCATATCACCATAGGAGCAATCTGGTTGCTCAGTTCAGGGCTGCAGCTTCTGTATTAGAGAAATGCTCCAGTGCCAGGACATTTGGCTACCATTACACTCATGTTGGAGGCTCAGGGCATTAAAGAACTATTACATGGTTAAGAACCCATGTAATAATCACACACCCAAAGTTGAATTAACATCACTCCTTGGTACATTCTTACATCTACTTTCCCCCTGCCTACCCTGAGCTTTAGTCCAGGCTGCCACCTTCTCTCTGAGTGCTTTGGCTCAGGTTTTTCTAGCTTCTACCCCATCCCCCCTCCCTTCAGGTCAAAAACCAGCAGAGCATGTCCCAAAGGCAGTTGGAGGAAATTGTGCCTTCTGCAAGTGGATGCTGGAAAATTACAGATATTTTAGGGCAGCCAGCAGCATCCTATTGATAGGCCAAGCACATGACCTCCTCCTCCAGCTCCCTCTGGCCAGGGATCTCCACTGCATGGCAGATATGGTACCCAGGGTTTCTGACTGGCAGACAAATGTCTACCCCTTGTCTAAGGTTTCCTTTAAGGTAACATCTCGGTGTATGATCCTCACACACATACCTTGGTGGTGACATAAATTTACACATTTTAAGTGTTAATGGATTATTTCCCTTCTCCTCCCCCTAAGGAAGCCCTGGTTTGACATCTTAAAAACCCCAGTGGCATATTGAGATATACAGTGGGCTGTAAAACACCTCCTCAGCTGAAAAACTGATTTTGTATTAAAATACTTTGACTGGCAGCCCTCTGACTTCATTATAACAACAAAAATCATACACCGTGTCTTGCATTAGTTAATCATCTGTAGATTTAAAAAACTAGATCCTCTGAGCAGCCTGTCAATGAAGACATACAGCTTCCTTCAAAAACACCTTAAAGAAATCTGATATTTCCCTGACCATCTTGTCCTAAAACACAGGTATATTTAGAGGGGGCTTAATGCCCTTTGGGATAAGCTACACCTGCTTGCAGATTTGCCCCACAGCCAGCAAGTCCACAAGGAGTGCACTGGAGTCCCAAGCAGCCATCCTGCTCCTTCACAGTGCATTCAGATGGACTCACAGACAGACAGACAGCCTACCCATCAGCACATGAGCCAAGCTCATGGGCATCAGGCCCTGCACCTTGCCCTAGAGATGGAAATCACAATCCACAGTCCAAGGTCGGGGCCGAACCGACACCGTGACAGGCAGCAGATGACATGGGACTGATAACGGGGTACCAGGCACCTCAGGGGTTACAGCCCAGCCCACAGCAGCTCTGACTCCCTGGGGCAAGGAGATCTAGAAAATCCCACTGAATCTTCTCTTCTTCTCCCCTCACTCAGACTATTTTTCTTCTCAGTGTTTGCTTTTTGCTGCAACATGAGCACTCAGCTAACCTGGAAGTTTGCTTTCGAGTTCAGGGCTGCAGTGGCGATTTATGGACTGGGTTGTTGCCACATCATCCGAGTATGGGGACAGGAGCTCTTCCCTCCTGCCCAGCACCAGCAGTGGGTTTGCTGCAGAAGCTGTTTGGCCCTCCCAACTCACCTCTCACCAACCTGGAGGCTGCACCTCTGCCTGCCCAGTTCTATGATTCTTTCCACACCCAGCCTTGTTCCTGCTCACCATGTGACTTCCATGAATCTGCTCGCTCTGCCAAGAGGAAAATTTAGCTCTGCCAAGAGGAAAATTTAATCTCTTTGCTTCCTCTTGTAGCCTACGACAGCCAACAGTCTAATTTGAGCACATCTTGAAAAAGTCACTGCTGAGGAACATTTGCAACCAGCCCCACCCTCCTTCCCATATTTATTGTATTCTGAACTGCATAGACAAGGTTTAGTTAAGTGCACGTGTTGTTCTCTTTGCTTTACCACTGTCTCCTGACCAGACGTGATCCATGCAGCCACAATAAAGCTGAATCCCAGATAACTAACACAGGAATGATTTAAACCCAAGTGTGTTGCTGCCACACAAAAGCAGCCTACAGGTCATTTTTCATTGTCTTGGCAAGCCGGGCTCACACATTTGGAACCAAAACTGAAAACACTGCCAGCCTGAGTCACAAGCAGTCTGTGGGAGTAAGACACTCTCATTAAGCAATGAGCAAATTATTTCAGCTCTCCAAAACAGAGGCTTATACAATGCGAGACAGGTTGTGGCACAGGAGGAGGCAGCTCCTAATGACTGATGCCCCAACTTCAGGTGTGGTAGTTTGAGCCACAATCTCAACCTATGACATCAGGTTTATTTGTTCTTAGAACCCCGTCACCTGGAATCCATAGGAGACTGGATCTCACCAAAAGATTTCACAGATCTGAGAAAACAGGGGTGCAATCCTTCCAGCCCCAGCACCACAAGGATTAATTCACCTTCTGCCAACTAAATTTACTGTTTGTTTGCACATCCTTGCCCTGTCAGAGGCCAAGCTGCCTGCAGTAGAAGGATGAGATTTTCCTTTTGCAAAGGAAATGCTCAAGTAGAGCAACTGTAAGCTGTCAACCTTTCCCCATCTTTTATGCCTCTGAAGATGAACTGCAGCAACAGCTCTGCTTACTCCAGGCTTGGCAACAACAGCCCTGGCCACATGTTTTTGGTTTTGTTCCCTTCCACCAATACAGAGGGTGGAAAAATACAGCTGTGTTCCCTTGGGAACATTTATTGGACAGCTGTGGCTTGGCAGCCTGGAAAATTCATACACTCAAAATATAAACATACATCCATAAGCAAACATACAACATGTGAGAAGCCCACAAGCCTAAAAGCCAAGGCCACTAAAAGGCACATCCCAGCTCCTAGGTGGTCACACAATGTGATCTGGAACATCCTGTCCCTCCCATAATCCAGTTTACCCTCTGTTAAAGCACAGACACCTCTGGGCTCCAGAGGAGAGCCTGAGAAAGTTGCCTCCAAGATAGTTACTAAGTGCTACAGCCTGCTTCTAGGTCTGTGTGCCTGACAAATACTCCACTGCCTACTCAGTCACCTTCTTTCTAGAAGCCAAGCAACTTGTTCACATTTATGTCTCCACCTATAGAATGCAGATTCCATGGGTTTGGACATTTCTGTCTCAAAACTAAACTGATGGAACTGCAAAGCAAGACTACTTAGGCAAACACAAACAGCTGTGTTATTGCTCTAAAGGGAGGAGCACAACTGCATATTTGAAAGACAATGACCTACCTGACATACGCCTTGGTATCTCAGAGCAGCTCATGTGCCTTCTGAGGAGTTTAAATCCAGGTATTGCCCAGAGAATAACAAAATCCCAAAGGCAAAAAACATTTTAGGAAAAACCTTTGCCAGATACACTTCTAGGTCTGGTGGCTAATACACAAGACTTTCCCACAAACAAGACATGACTTCTGGATTCACCAGCTCTGACCAGGGATTAAGATTCACCCATTGCAGTACAGCCATTTTTCGGGGGGGAAGGGGGTTCAAGAGGGACTGTTGCCTGCCCTAAGAGATCCCTCCAGAGGTCCCTAGAGAAAACACCTGTTCCTCAACCTCCATTAGCAAAAGCCATGTGGGGACATGTCCTTCAGAGTTCTCACATGACTCAGACTTTGCATCTGACTCTACTGCTCTTAATTGGGCGATTTATAAGAACAGGGTTTGTTTGTAATGTGAATGTTATTCTCAGAGGAAATTACTTCAGCCCTGGCACAACAGACTGGGGATTTTGTGCTTCTTATCTAATCCCATCTCACACCAGAGCCCAGTGACCCAGGGAACCCTTCCACTTCTCTAAGATTTAATTACTTCTTCCGGCAAAAAATTAAGAACCAGTTGATCTTTCATTTTGCACGTATATGTTCCAAAGGATAAATATACACCAGGTTTCATGTTATAGACATCTGACCTCTTGACACCATTGGGCCTGTTTTCTGCTTCCCTACCTTACAGAGTTCATCAGACCAGGAATCTGGAGATTTTGAACCCTTTTTCCTTCTCCAAAAGGGATGTTCGATCACAAGCCTGTAACTTTATTATTTTTTACTACACACTGAGGAGATAGAAGCTGTTAATCTCACTGCAGGCCAAGCCCCTTGATGGCTGTGGCAGATGGGGAATACCACCAACACTGTAAGGATCTTGTGCAACCTCTCCAGCACAGTGCCCCTGCAGACACTGTCTGCAGCAAGGCTCTTTGGCCCACTACTTCAGTCAAGGCAATAAAACCAAGAAGAAATTCCCTTTGCAGCTCTGTGTTTCCCCCTCTGCTGTGCTCACCCCTGGCTCTCCCACCTGGACTAAACTGGTGGTGAGGTCTCCATTCCAGCTGTGGAGCAACTTCAGCTCGTGGTGCAAAAGGATCTGGGAATGGCTGTGCAGATGGCAACATCATCTACGAAACATCAGTGGATTTTGTGGTTTGCAACAAAGGCTTCCTCATCTGAGCACAGCTTCTCTTTCCTGACCAACACAAATAAAAGTTTCACCTATTTATTGAAACAAATTCTAGGTCTCCACTACTGAAGTCTGACTCTTGCCTAGGGCACAGTTCTGTTAATTTTCCCAACTCCATTTGACATAACTGGTGCTTTCTGAGGACCCAAAACAGTTCCTCCAACACTGACTTTCAAGTCTTCTGAACTTTGCCTCTGTAGAGATGTTTTTCTTCCATAAGGCACAGTCAGATGGTGGCAGGCTACAGGCCAGTCCCTCAGGATACTCACTTACCAATGCACCACATGTTTTCATCATTGCTGTCATGCTTGCTAACACTTTGCAGCTGAAGTCCTGTCAGTTGTGCAACACAGAAGAGATCTGTTTCAGAGAGAAACATGATTTCAGGTGGTACAAACCTGGCAACTCACAGCTTCATTATTCCCCAAGGATGCTTATCCAGCAGGGACTGTGCAACTGAAATTGGAGGACAAAGTGAAGCCTTTCAGATTTTCATTCCTGCTCTAGAAGTAGACATATACCTACAACACTCTTTAGGGTTTTTTTCCTCTATTAACATGGCAATAAATTCATTATCCAGATGCACAGGCATGAAGGCACAAGCAGGAGAGGAGTTTTTCCTTCAGGGAACTGAAGTGAGGAAGTGTGAGCAATCAGTTCAGTGTCTGACCGTCACAGCAGTGAGCTCACAATCAACTGCTAACTCTTCAAGACAGAGAATCAGGAT